GCAAAACATCAGGAAGAACAACCTTCAGAACACAGCCAAAGAGCCCAAAAAACCCACAACAACCAAGCTGGGTGAACTTTGGCAACATACACAGACCCAGGGGAGAAGCAAACAGAAACCACTTCTGAGTATTCTATACATAGGAACCTCTGGATGGAGTTACTATAAGTCAGCATCAACCCAATGGCACCTTATTATAGCCACTGACAGATCCAACTTCCATGCATTTGTGACTGCTTCTTCCAAAAGCATCAGTTATGAGTAGGCATCGCCACCTCGTCAGTGAATTGTGCTCAATTGTTAGTTTAAGAGAGCACAAGTGAGCTACAACCCATAGTTTATGCTGAATAAAATGTGTCAGCTTTTTAAAGTGTCATCAGACTGCTGTTTTTACTGCAAAGGACTAATACAGCTACCCTACTGGAAGTTATTTCTTTGGCTTGGCTTCAGTGCACTCTGCACTAAAAATTGAGTTTGTAGATTTTACTCTGCACAACTTCTGCAATTTACTTCCTTCCTGTTTCTTGGCTACAATATTTTCCCACATCTTGTTCACCTTTTCAGGCTTCTAATCGGTAGACTCTAGTCTAGCCCACAGAACTTTACAGCAGGACAAATGTGTTTGTCTTTAAAATCAACAATACCCTTGGAGGGGGGGATGTGGCTTTTGTTGTTGCAACAAACTAACACACTATGTTAGTCTGCTGGATGATATTTTCAAATAGATTTGTTCAGGAAGAATTGTTGCAACTTGAGCTTCAGAAAAACAAACACAGTTGTAATAGTTCCTGTTTAAAACAAAAGGGAAATAAGTACGCTTTAAGGGTACTTTTTAAAGTACGCTTTCAATATTACTAAAAGAATTGCCATAATGTATCATTTTAAATCCCAGAACAAAGTCCTTTTAACTTCTTGCACTCTGAACTTCAGTTGGAAACAAGCACTGGATTGTTATGTATTGTTGGTGCTTTTTAGCAACTGCACTGCATTTTTAAAGCTTTGTACAGTCTACCCAGAGAACTTCCGTTAGTGGGTGGTTTAAAACCAGAATAAATAAGAATATAATTAAAAATGGTTTGACTAGGAAATTACTCACAAAGCACATCATCAAATGGGCAGAATAATTTTCTGAATTCTCTTAATTCCCCTGCCTCTGCTTAACCCTCACTGTTAAAAATCAGGCCACAAAAGATCACATTCCACCTCTAATGGCAGAGAAGGTTAAACAAAGTCACGAACAGTATCTTGACAGCAGTTTCACATCAAATGTAGCTATGGCTGTAGAGTCATATGTCGGGTAAGTAAGCATTTCTGGCTTATGTTCAGCCACTAACAGGGCAATATATTCCAAAGACATGTGTAAAAGACTAAAAAGAGAGGTCAACTAAACACATATTTATGGACAAAGCTCACCAAGTCTATTCAGAAGTGCAATTGAGTTCAGCAAGATTAACTCACAAACATATGGGTATAGAATTGGAGCCCTAAAATGTTCCACTTTTATTTATGCAGTTACTTTGAATTATTTTGAAAATTGCACCAACGTAATTTTTATAGTTCAGGCTTCTTCTTTTTTCTCCAGTTGGGTGTCTGCTTTAGTCCCCCAGAGAGCAGACATAAACAGATGGGGATTCTAACGTTTCTCATAATCAAGCTTTTCCTTCCATGTATTCTCAAATGCTTTCACGGCCAGGATCTAATGGTTGTTGTGGGTTTTTTGGGCTCTTCGGCCGTTTTCCTTCCATCTTTTTTTTTTCCTCCCAACTTCCATTTTTCATGGATCCAACCCTTAGTTGTCCATTTTAGACACTTGAATATCAAAAGACAATTTTGTTTGCAAACATTTCAAGCCTTCAAGTTAATTAAAAACTACTCCCTCAGCACCAACAGCAAACATATAAAAGCTCACTGTAACAAAATGAACTCCACCAGTCCCTGGAACAAGGGGAATAGGAAGCTTTTAACTCCCCTCAAATAGCTCTGAGGATACCATCACGTTTTTGAGGCATAAACTTACACAACAGGATTCTGGCCACTTCTTGAAAAATAACTACACAGGAGCAGTTTCTGCCGGGAAATATTTGCTCTCTGTAGTTAATGGCATATCCAGTTTTCATTGCCATTTTAAAAGCGTTGGCCTTATTCCAACTGTTCATCACAACCAAATAGAACCAATGCATCAATGGATCTTATGTGTTGACATCAATGAGTTCCATTGATTCAAGAGGTCTACTCTACATGGGACAAGAGTACTTTTTGCCAGCTTGTGCACAAGCCAGAAGACTCTAAGCTATCTCCTCCTTTATCTGGGATTCAATTAAGATCCTCTGGTATGTTTTCTTAGATAACTTTCCCTGACCTCGGGCTCTCCAGATGTGTTCATAGAAATCCCCAGAACGCCTCCCACAACCTATGGACCAGGTTTACAGATCTGCTCTTTTGTCCTAGGGGAAGAACTTCTCCAAGTCACATGACAGCCTTGCTGGACCCAGATCTGGAAACAGTATGGCTGCCAGATGGTGCTGCACTTTTCTCCTCCAAGCCCACTGGGGAATTCATCAGAAGATAAGAACCTCACAGCACATTATAAGACGACGTTTATTTTCGTCCTTCCACCATGATGATGTGGTAGCCAAACTTGGTCTTGACAGGAGGGTCTGTATATACTGGCTTATCCATGCTGCTGACAGGCAAGGCAAAGGCTGCATCCTGGAAGGGTCCCACCATAGAACCTCTGCTCATCCAGCCCAGGTCTCCCTGGAAAAAAAGCACATTCTGAGTCTGTCTGAGCTCTGCAAACCCAGGCAGAGAGCCAACACCAGATCTTCAGAGTTACCTTTGTGTGAACATGAGAACACCAAGGGCCCAGATCCAAAGGAACAGATGTAGGGAGGGGAAGCAAATAGCTGCTTTAATTCATAGGTCAATACACTTGAGATTACCCTGCCCAAGAAAATTCTTTGACAAATACACACCTACATTTCAATCACAGTAGATCAGAGACTGTAACAGGGTGGGGGCAAGAGATGGCTTCTAAGCAAGCCATGAGTGTCAAAATGGTGAGAGAACCAGTGGCATGTATTGGCGAAAATGATGGGCAGCAGCTCTGGAAATCTAGTTTGAAAGCTCCAATTGAGGAATGAAAAATTCCTGGCTCAATCACTCTCATAGCTGGCTCCCCTATCTCAATGCCCTGTTTTAAGGAGAAGATGAGAAGGAGAGGCTTTGAACTTACTGGCAGAAAAGTGGGATGTAAATGCGTCCGATAACGCCAAAAAGAAATTCTTCCTGATCTACCCCAAATTATTCAACAATCTACCAGTAAATACGATCTACCTTCTACCTATCCCCCATTCTTAAAAAATATCTCTCCTTACAGTTATTATTATTAGTTTTATTTATATGCTGCATTTCTCCCAACAAGGGACCCAAAGCGGCTCACAACATTAAAATTCACACAATTAAAAATGTAATAATTTAAATATTAAAAGATAAAATAGACAATATATGATTTAAAATAGAATTAAAGATTAACACATGAAAACATAAAAAGATTAAAATTATCTGCTAAAATGGGGTTCAGTTATACAGTAATTGTTAAAACCCTGCCTGAAGAGATGGGTCTTTAGTTTTTATATAGCTACACCTCACAGCACCAATCCTCATTCTGAAATCTGCTTGCTTCTACCACCAGATCCTTAACAAAGCTTGAAAAAGTTACCCTTTTGGACTATAAACTTTGATCCTGACACAGTTTTGTTCTTCTCGTAGGAGAGACTACCAAGAAATCAAGCCTAATTTCTGTACTCTGAAGGTTATTCTACAAAACTGTATGTACATATCCCTGGGCACATATTTTATCTGGCTCAGTTACCTGCTATCAGCAAAGAGCTTTGCTCCAGACTAGAGAGGGGGGTATTTGTATACACATATTCTCCTACAGGTGCAGATAACGAGGGTCCAGACCCCTGGGACCAGACTGACCACTCACTATTCTGCCACTGCCGTGGGCTCCGTACTCCCTTCCTATCACTCCGGAGCTTGCAGTGGATTAGTCACTCCTGGCAGAAGGCGGGATGGTGAGCCTCTCTGTTGGGTTGAAGAGTGGCTCATCCATCACGAGCAATGAAGAGATAGGAAGGGACCACGGAGGCTGTGGCAGCAGCAGAATGGTGACTGGTTGGTCTGGCCCCAGGGGGCCGGACCCTCGTTATCTGCACCTGTGGTGGCATATTCGTATACGAATACCCCCATCTCTACTCCTGACCATTGACACCCAAATCTCCATTCACTCAGCAGTACAAAATCTGGCAGTGGAAGCCCTCACAATCTCTCACCCAGAGAGTGGGAAATGGCAGCTGTATGTGGCGCATGCTACCTGCTGCCCTCATTCTATTCCAGTTCAAGAAAACAGAAAGAGGCACATACCCCTTGCCTGGCTTTGTCTTCACTATACTGGGAGGCTACTTCACTGAAGCGCACCCCTGCCTTTAGTTTCTCCAAAGCCTCCAGGGCTCTGCTGTGCTTCTCACACAGAATATGCCTCACCTGAAAAAGCACAATAACAGTTAGATACAACACAAAAACAGAGAGAGACACAGAGAGAATGCTTCTAGCATATCAAATCAACAAGGTTTATATTTTTGTTTTCTTTACTGATTGCAAGTCAAACAGGTTAAATCAGATTCCCATCACTCTGCAGCATGAAAACATTATCTGGAAACATCTCCGATTCAACTTCTTCTAGAAAACCTGAACCAATGCTGCTTTGTTTCCTGCCTCTTCCCTTCCCTTTTTTTCGACAATACTGACAGGCGGTAATCACAATATCTCCTCCTACCATGACACTTCTGTGTCTGCATTCTGTGGAAACCATCCAAGAGGACTAAAACACCCACCTTCACAGAACTGCCACCTCCTTTGGGGCCTTGAGCCTTCTTATCAGCAGCACTGCTATCAGAAGATGCTCCACCTGTGAAAACATAACACCAAAGGCAACAGTGAGTTGCTCTGGATCAGCAAGACTATCTTCCCACTATTTGTGCTCGCATAATGTGCGTGATCAGTGCTGAGCTCAGGACTAAACCCCAACTTGAAGAGATTAGTCCTGACCTGACAGACTCTGTCTGGTGCAAAGCCAAGCCGGTGCCCCTACCTCATCTTAAGCAGTAAGTGGGTACAGAAATATGACAATGTGGAGGTCTTGACTCTGCCTCCTGTCCTATTCATTCACCCAACACTTTTTAAACATGTGCTTATTATCTAGCCTGAAGACTTCTGCAAAGAACACAAAAAGAATGTTCCTTATTTTATGACATTTTTGTTGGTGCCAGTAATAGTGTTCTAACTGCAGCTTACAAAAGCACCATGCATCCCAGCTGTTAGTTTGTATTCTCTATAGCCAACCTTCTTCTCCAACCCTCAGCATCCCTGGCTAGCAGAAACCTGGGAAAAGACCAACGTATACTATAAACAAGAACTAGTTCAGAATTACAGAACTGTTCCACTGCTAAAAGCAAGCAAAGTTGCAGAACCAGGCATTTCACACACAGCATCAGAATTCTCTGCCACCCATCCTAACCTTTAACCTTCTCTCTCGAAGTGTTTTAAAATGTTAACAGCAACCTGGCAATTCCTCCCACAGGGGTGGGCAAGGATGACTCTCCAGGTAACGCTGAAGACAACCACTCCCATCCTCCTCCACCATGGGCAACAGCTAATAGGAACTGTAGTACAACGACATCGAAAGAGCTCTAAAAGGTGTGTGTATGTGTGTGTGTGGGGGGGCTATCAGTCTATTTATTCTTTTCCGGGAGAGGGAAGAAGGGACGAACTCCAGGATAGCTCCGTGGGTTAGAGAGAGAGGTTGGGGGATTGATGGGGGCTGGACTCGACGATCCATAAGGGTCCCTTGCAGTTCTAAGATCATCATCATCATCATCATAGACCCGGACTCCTAGGTTCCTCCTTCTCAGCGAAACCAGGGGTCGCAAAAAGAATCGAGCCTCTGGCTGGCATTTATTTCCACCCCCCCTTCATGATCATGATCATGATCATCATCATCATTAATAGAGACCCGGACTCCTAGGTTCCTCCTCCTCAGCGAAACCAGGGGTCGAAAAAAGAAACGAGCCTCTAGCTGGCATTTATTTCCACCCCTTGGGCTGCTCACCTTTCCCTCCTTTGCCGCCGCTTTTCCCTTTCGGGGGCATGTTTACCACTCCTTCCTTCCTTCCTCCTTGCGGCAGGCGGCGGCGGCGCTCCCAGATGTCGTCATCATCGAACGCGACGGGAGCAGGCAGGCCCCCCCGTTCCCTTGGTGAGGGCAACCGAGGCGGTGCCTGCAGTCGAGGCTGACCTGTGTTTTTGCACCTATACGTAGTTCAGGGCACAGAAACATTGTAGAGAATTCCTGCTCCTGGACTGGAGGAAAGCAGGGAGAGCCACCATGTTGGCACATTCAGAGAGGCACCTGTGGTTTGCTGCTTCTCCCTCTCAGTGTTGCTTCTGTCCAACACTGCAGGGCTCTTAAGCCTCTTTCACGTCGGAAACAGGCACGCGGAGGAGAGAAACTGGGTTTTGTAGAGGGAAACAAGGCTGTTGGGAGCAGAAGAGAGCCCCTTTCCTTTGTGCCTGTGGCTTATCCACCCCATTTGCCCCCATCACCTTTAGTGAGAGCAGGGGGGATTCAGGGTGTGTGTCCGCAATTATAATTTATTCTTCTGTTTAATTTACAGGATTTGCTGGTGGTTGAAGTGCCAGAGAGCAGCAGGAGCAGCCTGGATATCATCCTGGCTGACCTTCCCTCTGATTTGGAAAGGTCCTCGTTTCCAAGCTCAGGGGAATAGGCAGAGATGCCCTGGTTTGGCCCATGCACTGGGCAAACTGCCTCCGCCCGCCAACTTCCCCTTAACATTAGAGCTAGGGCAGCAATAGGGATTGTCAGGAAAATGTAGGGCCGTAGTAATGCTTTATGTAGGCTGTTGAGCAAAGAACGGGAGGTACTGGTTCATTTCCTGATCTACTTCCAGCTTTTTGGGGCAACAGCTGGAACCAGGATTCAGGAGTGATTGCTGGAGCCCAGGATTCATCCAGTGGGGCTCTTATGGCTTCAGTTTCTGACCTCTTGTTTCATCTTCTCACAGCATCTACAATGCTCTCCAAGAACCCAAGCCAGAGAACTTTAGGCATATGTATATACTTTTTGGATATTGTGTATTTTACACAGAGAGTAGGTGGAGTGATGCAACACCCACCAATGCCTTTAAAGCTGACATAAGTTTACCAGCGTATTGATACTCCAGCCGTGGAAAAAAATAATAATTTAAAAAATAGAGAGAGGGGCTTTTAAAAAAGTATTTATAGGACGTGTGCCGTACCACTAAGGAATATATCGTAATGCCACCAGAACAAAAACAAACAAACAAACCCAGAAGCCTCCCAGCGAGTGGGAATTTAATTTCAGTTGTACTGCTGCTGGTAAAATGAACTGCTAGTAGCTATGAGTTGTGTGATTGCAAAATTAAGCTACGGTCTAACTTGGGCATAAGTAGGGAACAATTCCATCTGTTTAGCCCAATCAAGATTTTTCCCCCCTTTGAAAAGAAATAATTCTCAAGAACATTAAGTGGCTGATGGGTTGTCCCGGGAACAATTCCATTGTGTGATCACACCCTCTGTTTAGCCCAATCAAGATTTTCCCCCCTTTGAAAAGAAGTAATTCTCAAGAAACATTAAGTGGCTGATGGGTTGTCCATTTGGGGAAGTTTCTTAACTATCTCAAACTTCTTAATGGTTTTGAGAAATTTATTTATTTATGTATTGAATTTATATCCCGCCCATCTAGTAAATGCTGATACATTAGCAATAATTAAGAAGAAATGCAAAACTTTCTCTCCTCTGACCTCCAAAAGAGAGTCAAGCAGAAGTTTTCCGTTTTTTCAAGACTGTTAACATTGTCTCCAAAAGGGCAGCCTGTTTGCCACTTGGTTTGATCCCACTGACAACACACACTTCAGTTGAACCAAAATGGAGCAACCCTACCGCACCTAAAAACGGTAGCCCCTGGCGGTCAGTCAGAAAGGTGTCGGCAGAAATGCTCTGGATTTGCACTGGCATTGGCATTGTCCAGTTGCCAGCAAAAGGAATGAACCAGTGCAAACCTAACAGTGGGAGAAATGCCAGCACTCTTGCGGGCTCTCTGTCCCTTTATTGCTTTCCCATTCTAATCCCGCCATATCTGCAGTTTCCTTACTGGGATAAGGAGCCTCTTGAGGCAGCAGGAGATTTTCCCAGCAGCAGGAAAAGGGAGCTTAAAAGCCCCCGCCCCAGCAACACAGCCCCAACCAAATCCTCCTTTCCTTACAGCTGCCTTGAAATGAAATGTAAAGAGACAAGATATGACCACTGTTCTCACAAAGTCTGGAAAAAATAATGGTCTTTCTGGACTACAACGCCCAAAAGCTCCCACCCAGCATGGCTGTGGATATATTCTGGGCGCTGTAATCAAAACCAAATATATTCTAAGCTTTGAGTCCTCTAGTATTTTATTTATTCTGACAGTTACAATCGTCTGCCAGGACCACAGTTCACACATTTCAAGATGGAGAGGCAGGAATCCCATCTTTATGCAAATCAACAAAGGCGCCAAAGGAAGCCTGAGAGGAAATTGCTCAAAGAAGTCCGGCACAGATCTCCACAGAAAGTAGTCACGTCCAACTCTCAGAAACAGACCGCCATAATATTGCTGATCCTCCCCAACTGGAGGTGAAGGATTCAGGAAACAGAGCAATCGCCGCACTGGCATGAAATATCAGATATTAATACTTTTGACATGGAAAAGTCAAGGTCCCTCTGGTATACACTCACCCAAGAAACCAATTCCGCTTAGTTTCTACTTGTAAACATGTCTCTTTTATTATCAAGTGATGCTTGGAGTTTTAAAAAAGTGTCATCCGGTTGTTCAATATCCTATTTTAGCACTGTTCTCAAAAAGTCAAATCTTTCTGAGGACAAACAGAGACTACAGAATGGCATGTACAAACAAGCTATGAAAATGTGTTTTGTTGTTTTGTTTTTGTGTGTGTTTTTTTAAGCCAACAGTATTTGTAAAAAGTATCAAAGATCCAAATAACAGTGTTTGGACTGATCCCAGAATGAACCGTTCCAAATGGGCTCAGTTTGTTATGGACAAACAATCTCAAAAGAGAAACAAACAAAAGACAACTGGAATATTTGCACAGCCCTTAAGAATTGGCCCCAAGTTTTCCTGGTGCTGTTCAAGGACTGCAAAGCAAGCAGCCACTGTGGCAGCAAAGAACCCAGATCTGTGCAACATGCGGGCTTGTCATTTCCCCACCCCACCCAGCAACCTGCACATCTTGGGGAATGGCAGGCGTCCCAAAAGTCCTAACTTGGCTTCGAGGTCATGTCGTCATCTTCAGCCCCTCAAAGCCACAGAACTTCCACCTTTTTTCTAGGCTTGCGCCAACTCCACTCAGCTCCTGCTTGAAGGTGTGCTGGAGCCGCGTCATGAGAGCTTCCACTTCACTAGCGCAAATCTACAAAAGAGAAGCAAGGCCCATCACAGCAAACAGCATTGCTCAAAATAAAAGCGATTGAACCTGTCATCTTTCTAAAAAGGTTCTATGTTAGACACCTTGTGTGATGCTAAGAATTCCAGGCTTCAAACACACACACAACCACCAGCCAGTCATGGCTAGTTTGAATGACAATAGATTCCTGGACTCTCTTAGCAACATGTAACAGTCCTATACTTTGTCACGTCATTTATTCTAGCTCACTATACGCTGTCTCCTTGTCACTTTCTTTCCTTCTGTCCATTACCAGCTGCTCTTCTGGTGGACAATGGAACTGAGGGAGGACAGGATTGTATGCAGGCAGGGCTCTCACCAAAACTCATTTGTGTGTTACAGAGACTACAAATAAGAAACGTAGCATGTGACTAGACAGTTAAGCTATCCCAGGCTTGATCAGGCCAAATGGAGTCTGTTATTCCCCCCCCCCAGGGAGCAGGAGAATTCTTTTCATTTATATCACTTCATTGTCTTGCTATTCAAGTGATATAGCACTGAACTGTTGGGTGAAACAGGGCTGCTTTGACTCATTATTGGTGATCACACATGCTAGAAACCAAAGGAAAACAGAGCAATTCCCACCCACACTTTAAAGTAGCTCCTGCCAGCGATCCAAAAGAGGTAGGTAGAGGCGGGCTGGTTCATGACCGCCCACATCTCCTGTGGCCACCAGGAAATGGAGTGGACCAGCCTGTTCCCAAAGTGGTCCAAAGGCAAGAGCCATCCCTTCCTCCTTGCTCCCCACAATATATCATGGAAAAGGGAGGTGGACCCGTCGGCCCTTGGAAAGTCAGGTGCGGCACCTTGACTGCCTCTAGTTTGAGGTGCCTTTAAAGGTGCCACAGAGGGTCTGGAGCGCACCCTTAAATCTGCCCAACAGATGGCGGTGCCAGCACTTACCTTACTATCAAGGCGCTGGAGGTAGGAACAGATATATTCAATGCTTGCTCCAAACGGGTGGACGTGCAGAAAGGTGGAGATTATCCCTAGAGAAACATTTCCAGAGTTACTTCCAGAATTCAGAGGTCAGCAGAGCACAAACTCATCTCTGACAAGGCGCTGCTTTTAAACCCCTGGAGAGGAACCTCAGAACGCCCACACAACAGAGTATAAGCACATCGGAGGGGGTTCCCTCAGGAGGCTCCAACCACTGCTCATCCACATCAAGACATTATGTGCCTTCAAGCTGCTTCGGACTTATGGCAGCCCTAAGAGTGAGTGACCTCCAAAAAAAAACCCTGTCAGCAGCAGCAACTCTGCTTCTAGAACTGTGAGAAAGGCTGGCTGGCAGGGTTTTTTTTTCACAGCCTAGTATGTTACAGTGGGACTCAACCTGGGTGAAGCTGTGCTTTTGGATCAGAAACCACAGATGCTAACACCTGCTTTTGCTTCAGGACCATGTCATTGTTTCTACTCAACGGAATGGCTTTTCTTTGGATGGTACCTTCTGTCTTTTGAAGAAAAAGGCCAATTTGCTTTCCAAGAATGTTTGGAATCAGTCTTGTAAATAACTATCCAGAAATTACGACCCTGCCAAAAATTGCACTAGGCCTCTGAGGGGGAAGCAAATGGAGAGTTTCAGTTTAATGTTTGGCTTTAGGGCTTGGTTTTTAGGTGCTGAGGAGAGATGGGTTTGGCTTATTCACTTCTAGGTTTGTAGGCTAGTGCTCAAATACGAGGAAGCTTTAAATATAAAAATAAATGAGACTGTGTACAGTACATTTCAAAACGTATTCAGGAGGTCTTGTCATCTTCAGTCTATAAAGCTGATGCCTTTTCACTTTATGTCCACATAGCTAGGTGGCAATCCATGCTTTGCACAAAAGTGAGCTCGGGTTCAGCTGAGGGATAATCTGTATTTCTCACAAAAGAGGTCCCAGGTTCAACTCTTGGGTTCAGCTTCGACAAATATTTGGGGAAAAACCACATCTCACACCCTGGAAGGCCACTGCCAGTCACAGTACCTCAACATGGCTGCCTGGAGGCAATTTCATGTTTTCATGGCTTTTCTAGGAAGGAAGGTCCACAGTTCAGTGGTGGAGCAAATCTTTTGCATGCAGAAGACCCCAGGTTCATTTTCCAGGATCTCCAACCACAACTGAGAAAGACCCTGTCTGAAATCAAGGAAGGCTTCTGAAGCTAGAAAGAACAAGATAGGACAGTTTCCCCTCCTGAAGTCTGGCAGGTCTTAACCATATTGTTGCATTGTCTCTTTACCTACTAATAATGCTTCCCTTTCCGACTTGATGGGGTTGGTGCTAAATCCTCTTTCAAGCACGCTGTCCTTCTCCTGGCTCACTGAGCACATCGGCGACAAAGTGTTAGTCTGAAGATAATTACGGACAATTAATTTCTCACACATAACTTCTGTCGTAGCCACCTGCCAATTAACACATCCATTGCTTCTTATACAATGCAAAAATAAGTATCTGGTAACAGACAGCTCACACATAACTTCTGTCGTAGCCACCTGCCAATTAACACATCCATTGCTTCTTATAAGTATCTGGTAACAGACAATTAACTGTTAAAAACTACAGGATGAACACAGTGCAGGTAAGGAAGGGGAGATGAGAAATATCTCAGATCTCATTCCCAAGTAAAACAACATACTCTGCCTGCCACCCTCCCTAATATTAACTTGCTTACACTTCACAATGGCTACTAAATCCGACTGCTCGTCCCAACCAAAGTAGATCCATGGAAATAATCCCCAGTGTTATATCAGCATTGATATAAACACAATTCATTCAATGGATCAAATCTAGCTGGGCATATCAGTTGGATTTCAGCCTACGAATTTTTCACACATTTCATGGAAAACAAAAGGATATATCTATTTGTCCAACAATAAGTCACATGTCTGTTAACAACAGAAAGCCAAAATCAGCAACTGAAGGCCAGGGCTGAGTAATGGGGGCATTTTTCTCCACAACGTGTCATTAATGAGTAGAAATCATTATCATAAGCCTCTAGAGCAGTGGTTCCCAGTCGTGGGTCCCCAGGTGTTTAGGTGACTAAAACCGCCAAAAGTATTATCACCTGTGCTGGCCAGGATTTCTGGGAGTCTTAGTCCAAGCACCCCCGGACATCCTAGAGGCATTCTGAATACAAAATGCTGGACTGGGCAGACGTAGGCGCAACCCAGCAAAATACTTATGTTCGATTCCTAAGCAGCAACGAACAAAAACATAGCTAAATATAAACTGCCCCTTCACTCAATTTCAATTTTTTTTTCTGGTCCTAATAGATCTGATAAGAATAAGGGTGAAAACTGATTACGTTTGAGATATGTAGTGATCACAAACCAATATGTTGTCATCATAGTGACTGGAACTGTGTGTCACCAAATAAAGGAACTCCACGTTTCCATTGAAGAAGTAGAAAAGGCACAAGCCTGACAAGCCAAAGCTATGGCCATGGTTCTTGATTGAACCTCAAGTCTAGGGCTTTTGGCAAAGTAAAGGAAACATGGCCTGCTGCAAAGTAAAGAGTCTGGGCTAATATATAAATTCACTAGGCTAGAACTTCAGCTTATAAAGGCTGTTTAAAAACCTTATCATTCAAAAGCATTCAGAGAGAAATCCATATACTCACATGGTCTTGTTGATCAGCAGAGTCTTTCCTCCACTCTGGAGCAGCTGTTGCCTCTTGCTGTATTCAGTTGGAGAAAGGAAAATTCATCATCCCAAGCAATATACCACCCTTGGTATCAGACAGAAACAGCCCATAATACTTCATTGCCTATGGCTTAGCAACAAACTGTGCTCCCCATCCAATCTAAGTCAATGTACACAGTATTCTAATTAGGCCAAATTCTTTTAGCACATCTGGCAAAAAAAAAAATCATGAATATATTCCTCCTAGTTAAGTGCTTCTTCAAGTCCTTCCTTGGACACAAGGACGCTAGTTTCAGAAACTTCAATTCATCCATTTGCTTTCTTCTTGGTGGATGTGTACAAAATCGTGTTCTTTGATATACTGAGGGACAGCAGTGTGCTTTTCCCCATCTATTTGCTGTTGTTTTTCAACTGCAGTGGCAGACACAAATACTTTCCCCCAGATTCCGGCAGCCATTTTGAAACCGCTGATCAGCTGGCTGAAAATGGGCGCTTTGCGATGATCGCTTCCCCACAATCATTGCAAAGCGAATTTTGCCCATAGGGACCATCGCTAAGCGATCGCTTTTGCGGTCGCTTAAACCCCGTCGCTAAGCGATTTCGTCGCTCAACGGAGTGATCGCTAAGCGAGGCACCACTGTATATTCCTTTTAGTTAAGTACTTCTTCAAGTCTTTCTTTGGACACAAGGATGCTAGTTTTGGAAACTTCACTTCATCCATTTGTTTTCTCCTTGGCGGATGCGTACAAAATCATGTTCTTTGATATACTGGGGGACAGCAGTGTGCTTTGCCTCATTTATTTGCTGTTGTTTTTCAACTGCAATGCCAGACACAAATACTTTCCCCCAGCCTCTTGAAAGGAATGTTGTCAAGCCAACATTCTACATAGCACTTAAGAGAAAAGCCCACCTTGTGTACACAAGCGCCCAGGTAACTATTATGGAAGAAGTGTCTCAGAAAAAACTCCTACCTTTTCTTTTAGGCTTTCCAGCAATTTGTTTAGCTGGGCTTTTTCCTCCTTTATCTTTTCTAGCTCAGCCTCTCTTCTTTCATATTCATCTTGTAGTTTTTGGAGATTCTGGAAAACAGGAGCAGAAACACTCCATTTTATTTAGTTCAATTATAACCCTTTTAACCCGAGATAGAAAACGAGGAAGTTACAAAAGACCAAGGTGCATACACCCAAACTGTGTGTTCCCCAAGGCCTCGACTTCTTCACAATGGTTATTATAATTCATGGACTGCTCTCTGCAGATGTCAGACATGTCAGTCTTCAAGCGATCACAGTGTTGCAAGTTTTACTCCAGCAGCTATCCCTGTAGAATGGTTTGTCTAGTACGCATTGATCTAAAAAGTACTTTGGACCTGTACTACACATTATGACATTAAAACTTACAATACTTGAACACTATCAAATAGTATTAGTAAAACTCAATTAAAACCAACTTGAAAGTACATCCATATGTAACGTAGCTATATGTTAAAAGTCCATTCATCAGCAACAAGTCAATTGTTAAGGGCCTGTCTCAATAAGAGATTTCTTATCTGGTAAGGTAAGGGATTGGCTTCCCTTGAAAGAGAGGTCCATGGCATTGCAGCAGCTACCAAGAAGGTTCTTGTATCTATTCTATAATCTTTAGACCCAGACCTTTACAAGCATGGAGCAGATGCTCATCTATTTCTGCGTGTATCACTTTGTTTCTTAAAGATTATTGGTGAAGAGGATGTGCTGGAAATTGACCTGAAGATCATTTTCTCGAAGAGTAAAGCATCTACAATTGTGACCTCAAGGGAGCACCTGCCCTCCCTCTTGCATGCATTGTATTGAAAGATTTGAATAACGTTCCTGAAAGAGCTTTTTTAAAAACGTAACATTTCATGTATTCTTTAGTGATACAGATATCATTGGGGAAACCCATACTGATCAACTCCTCCAGGTCCACATAATTAGATCATTTTAAATTCAGAGCTGGGGATTTCTGTGAGTCCCGGTGGCAAATTTCTGTCCCCTTTGGTCCTCCAGGAACTTATCAGGTTGCCAAAAATGCAAGAGACAAAAAGCAAAAGACAATAACAGAGAAAAAAAACGAACCAAAAATTCCACGAAAATCCAAAACTGGATATTCAATCTCCATCTTCACTTTTGAAAAACAAAACAGCAACACATTTATTGTTGTCAAATGGTACAGTGGGTAACTGCAATCTTTCTGAAAGGTGAATGACCACTCTTGGAGGGTTCAAGGAGTGGCTAGTCACTTTTCCTCCCTCAAGAAAACAGGGACTGCAGAGTGAGGGTTGCAAATGGTCCTAGGACCCTTTATCAAACTGTGGCAGCAGTTTGTCTGTTGATAAACTGCAGCCACACAGCTGGAAGGAAAGATAAGAGACTCATTGGGTGCTATACTTTCAAGTGGCTTCAGACAGAGTAAAGCTCCCTGACTTCTGAGTATTTCCAGAGTCACGACATCCTCACTCTAGGAGCAGAACTTTCATATGTTACAATTCTGGGAAATGACTTCCGGTATCTGGAAACTTCCCAGTGACATTGCTTTGTTGCCTTTTGCCTTTTGCTACAAAAGAAGGACTTAAAGACAGGCCACTCTTTGTACAGTCTAAGAATTTCAGTGATGATTTCCTTTCACGGGAAAAAGGGAACGCTTTACCTGCTGCATGCCTTGCAAAGCCTGCTGGAGGATCACCAATTGCTGGTCCTTCCTTACGTCTTCATCTTGGCCCATTTTGCCCTGCTCCTGCTTTAAAAGCTCCACCTCATTCCTGTAGGCGTCTAGCTGACACCGTAAGCTCTCGTTTTCCTCTTTCAGAGCTTCTGTCTGTAATACTAGTGCTTGGGGGTGTGGGAAGAGAGAGGAGAGAAAGAAATGGAACCACTGATTGTCTTGCGTCAATTTTTTTACATTTAGACTGTCAAGCTGTTTGGGGTGACAAATACTACATATCCCTGGCTAGCATGACCCCTAGAAGATTTCGTCCAAAAAGTAACTCTTGCAGGCTCCCTCCCTTTGTAAAAGGGGTAACTTATTTTCTAGAATGTCTCCTTTTAACTAAACATTTGAATTATTTCTTGGATATCTTTGTGTTATTATATGTGCCTCGTGTTTTACTTCTTTATTTCTTTGATTTTCATCCTCTCTTTCTGCTAAACAGGGATCAAGACAGCTAACACTACAGAGAAAAGAACAAAATAATAATTTAAACATCACAAGACATATCCAATAAAAAATTAATCCCATAAAACAAAGCAGTAAGAGCATCCATCAGATTAAGGATGCAACTACACTAGAAAGTACAATTCAGTTTTGCTGCGATTTGATTTGTAGTCATATTATATTTGAAATCGCTGTCAGTGTTCATATAGGGGCTGTGCGTTGATTCAGTTCATCCTTCATACTGGATGTTTTTGGCATTCCAGCCCAAAGCCTCACCTTCTTTCTTTCCTTCCTTCCTCTGGTCCTGCCTCTGCCAATCCCTTTATGGGGTGTACATAATAATTAGGACCTGGCAATAACAGGACTAGTTCTGGCTTGAAATAGTAGAAGCACCCCCCACCCCACCCCATGGCAGAGAGAAAAAAGTCACTTTGGGTGCAAAAAACAGGCTGGACCAATTTGACCCAGTTGTTCCATAATGTGACCAGTACAATTACTTCAAATCCATCCATTTTATAAGTGAAGCAAATTGCCCAGTTGTTCTGGGTTTTTCAGGCTCTTTGGCCATGTTCTGAACACGGCCAAAGAGCCCGAAAAACCCAGGACAACCATTAGATCCCGGCCGTGAAAGCCTTTGCAAATAAATTGCCCAGTGTTTGAGCACGGAGTTGGAGCCTTAAACATTCTATAACTCAGTGGCCGAGCTCATATTCCGTATGCAGAGAGTTGCAGATTCAGTCCCTGGTATTTCTGGGCAAGGTCAGGAAATAGCCTCCCCTGAAAACCCAGTTGCTGCCTGTCAGTGGAAACAGTCCTGGGCTGGATGGACCACCGGTTAGGCTCAGCATAAGGCAGTTTCTCAGACCTCTACATGTCAACTTCATGAGCAAATTAGCTTAAAGGTCCAAAGCCTGCTTGAATAAAATTCCCTTTGCTTGCTGGAAAAAGAACAGCAGCCACGGAGCGAGCCTGGATTCCCTTTCTTTATCCTTATGGCACACCTATCAATTGGATAAAAGGGAGCTGCGGGGTCCAAGCCCATAAAATACCAATGCAAGAATGGGTGACACTTTTACAGACCACTAAAAATCGACATACAATATGTGAACAGCTTTCGTGGATAAAAGCTCCACTTCACTGGGCTTGTCCTGTAAACTGGACAGCTAAGACTCATCTGTGTAGGCGTGCGAACACGCAAGCCTTGGGGCACTGGAACCTCAACCACACTCAACTGCTGTCCACCAGAAGAACAAAGCATTTCCTACTAGCTCCATCACCTGCAGTAATTTGTGCCAGTGGACAGCTTCTGTGTAGTGCTCCCAGTGTGTTTTAGACTGTCCCCAGGGGGTTGTACTGTAGTTGTGTAGTGCTCCCAGTGTGTTTTAGACTGCCCCCAATTTACTCCATAGGCAGGTCCCTCTGGTTTATAGGTTAGGAGGGGGTTGTACTGTAATGAATCATGACAGCTAGCTTTACCATCCACACAGCTGGAATTTTGTGCCCAAGGTTGGGGACCACTGCTGTAGTGAGTCATGACAGCTAGCTTTATCATCCACACAGTTGGAATTTTGGGGCTGTCTCTGGTTGGTTGCAGGGATGTTAGCAAGTCCTTGGAACCAAGTCCCAAGACGGAGACTCAAGTCCCGAGTCCCAAGCCTCAAGTCTGAGTCTCAGAGTCTTCCGCCCTGCCTCTCCAAGGCCTGGGACTTGGGACTCATACGGCGCATGTGCTAGCCAGTGGACAGGGACTCAATAACGTGGCTCTGATAAAAGGGTCCGAGTCGTGAGTGCAGGCCTAAATCCCCCCCAAGAAGCCCCCAAGCCGAGGCCAAGTCAAGTTGCTAGTGTCTCTTGAGTCAAATGCAAGAGCAAGTTGTGACTGGCAACTACTCGTTCCCATCCCCAGTTGGTTGGTTGTTCCCCTGGGGCTACATTTTGTTTTGTTTTTGTTCAATCAGAACACCCAAGCCCGATTTTTGTTTGCCCCTTATCTTGGAATACGTGGCTGCCTTTTCCACCTTGCCCCAGTTCCTCTGGCTGACGCTTCTGTATCTTACCCGACTCTTCTGTTTCTTTGGTCTCTGGTGGCTCTATGTCTTCGTCGGACATTTCCATTTCCTCCTCTCGTCGAATGCCCATCAGCTCGTCATTGTGTATGTTACGAATTTCCTACAATTTAAAGAGCGTTTTTGAAAAGAGATGCTACTTTTTGCCTCTGAGTGCTAAGAAAAAGAGGAGAAACAAATTTAGAGGGGAAGAGGACCCACGAGGGCATTAGACATAACTGTCCAGAACATTACACTATCAGGTAAGTTACCAATTTGCAGAACCAATGTGTTATTTATTTACAGGTGTGGAACATTTTTAGGACTGGATTCTTTATACACAGAGTTGTTGTTATGTGCTGTCAAGTCAGCACTGACTTATAGTGACCCTAACAGGGCTTTCAAGGTGAGAAATTTAAGGAGTGGATTTACCAGTTCCACACTCCCAGCCAGGGAATTGAACCCAGTTTTCCAGGGTCCTAATCCATAACTAAACCCAAGAAAAACAGAGAAAGACATTGTAATTCATAGGGCACTTCCAATATGCTTTTGTGCTCCCTGTCATTTTTCATCATTGAACAAATCCTGTGGATGTTTTGTTGCTGCTGCTGTAATTTATTAGTGGAGAGACAGAGAGTCCAAGAGTAACTCAAATGGGTGATTGAGCTCATGTATAAACCAAGACCTTTACATTCAAACCTTGACCTACAGACCACTAGCCTAGTACTAAGAAAGATAATGGACTATCTGTCTGAAAAGCTGGGACATCAGGCGTCAGATGCAAGGAGGATGAAATCAAGAGATCTGGGCCCATGCTCTTGCTTATTCTCTGTAAATTAGAATAAGAAACCCTGTTAACCTTCAGCTCTTACTACAGATAAGGATAGCTCCATTTATCATTTTTACAAGAGAGGCAAGCGAATAACTGCTAGAGACTGCAAGGAAAAACTATATGGCAGGTAAGTAGAAATGACAACCTTAACAGTGGCTGTCTTACAGAATAGCTTTCTCCTAGGCAATAGGGAATCACAGAAAACCAGTACCTTTATACCATTTATATTGCCCACTACTGTCTACCTTGATTAAGGATGTCAGGGAAACAAAACTCTTCTTCATTATTGGCTACCTGATTTTTTTTTTTCCAAATAGAAGTTCCAATACCTTTGGGAGACTGGCCTGCTTCTCCCCCTACATGTTCTCAAGCAACACCTTCCTTTCCATCCTTCTCTTAGTTACGTTCCATGTTCCCACTTCCTACAGCCCCAGGCTTACTCACCTACAAATCTGGCATGATATGGAAATGTGGAATGGGAAATTTTTTGTTATAAAAATGAAAAGCTTTTTCATTTAAAAAAACAAGCCAAAATGGCTGATGTTGAACTTATAATGCTGCTGATTTTGCCTCACTGGCCCTGTTCTATATGAATTTTGTAACGTTGCTATTTCTGATACTATAATTTGTTATGCAGTATTTATTCTAAACTGCTTCTGGTCCACTATGGACAAGTGCCATATATAAAATCATACTAGGGCTTAGGTTAGGTCTTATTTTTCTGGAAAACAGGGTATATATATTGTAAAATGATATATATCAGCCCTAACTCAAAAATAAGCCCTGATGAAGTGAAACCCTGCCCTCCACCCTTGTGCAGCAAACAGAAGAAGATGACATGACTGTATTTGAATAAATGTAGATTGTTGTACATGAAAAAAATAAAACATCCCCTGAAAATAAGCCCTAATGCATTTTTGGAGCAAAAGTTAATATAAGACCCTGTCTTATTTTCGGGGAAACATGGTATATTAAACTAGCCAAAACTAACCCACAATAAATTTAGACTTTTATTATGTTCCCAAAACCAGCATATTTTATTCTGCGATAACCAAGCCAACCCACAAGTGGCACAAACACACTGTTTCTCTATTGTGTACATATACAGTTGGCTTTTAAGAGAACTTCATTGGATTCTCACTAGATATGGTTTTAGATCGATACAGATAATGCCACTTGTTATATGCATATACCTCATTCCAGAGTATGTCGCATTTGGAATTTATGAACATGTTAATGCAAATAATATATAATCCCTTTTTTCTCTCTGAACTCAATCATCTTCAGCAAAGTCATACAAAGGTCTGTCAGAATCGTTTAATATTCCACTTTTTGAAGTCACAACAGCGTACAAATTTATTCTGCAGGCTAGGCAGGGGCCGTTTTGCCTTTTATTTCATCCCTTAATCCTATTCCAGAGAAGAAACTGCCCATAAAATGGCACACCAAAATGCTTGCTCTCTGTCACCAGTTACTGTCAAAATAACTTACCTGAAGTTGCCAAAATCTGCATGAACCACAGCTTTTGTCAAATTTGCTATAAATGACACATGCCCAGCTGCTTTCCCCTCCAGATGACAGACCTAAGAGTTGGCTGATTTGCCACTGTGAAATTCAGAACGTTAGAAAGCACAGGTGTGGACTGGTCTTTCAAGTTATGTGGCTTTCATGCCAGCAATGCTCTCTTTTTTTAGCAAAAGGGTGTACTGTAAGTCTCTAACAGAATCCCATTGTGTGGGATCAAGGGCCGTAACTTGAAATTTCTGGGTGAAGAAGAAGAGGGACTGCACCACGCTATATCTTTGATGTTCTTCTCTCCAGTTTGATGTGCCTCCCAACAAAGCACATGGCTGAAACTTTCCAGCTTCAGATCTTCTCACACAATCTGAGCTTACCTAAAGCTCTAAGAAATTCAGACTACCTACAGCTGTTCACAATATCTTCCCTAGCCTAACAGTGTACAAATATGTTGGACTACAGCTCCCATCATGATCAAGGTAATGGGACTTGTAGTCTAATGCCTCCCTAGGTGCTGAGCTGGGGAAGTCTGCCTTGACTTCCCATCACCACTTTGAAACACTAGGCACACTAACGTTTCTGCTGTGGATTTCTCAAACCACAGAATTTCTTGAAACCATACCTGCAAAAGATCCCTTCCTCTTGGCTCCGCAGAAGTGCCACATGGAGAAAGGAAAATGAGAACCTCGGTGGGAGGGGGATCTCTACTGCTCGTTGGACTACAGCTCCCATCATGATCAAGGGTGGATAAAGGTAATGGGACTTGTAGTCTAATGCCTTCCCAGGTGCTGAGCTGGGGAAGTCTGCCTTGACTTCCCATCACCACTTTGAAACACTAGGCACACTAACGTTTCTGCTGTGGATTTCTCAAACCACAGAATTTCTTGAAACCATACCTGCAAAAGATCCCTTCCTCTTGGCTCCGCGGAAGTGCCACGTGGAGAAAGGAAAATGAGAACCTCGGCGGGAGGGGGATCTCTACTGCTCAGGCAAAACTGTTATTACCGTGAAGAATAATTCACAATGCCTTGACTTCCCATCACCACTTTGAAACACTAGGCACACGAACGTTTCTGCTGCGGATTTCTCAAACCACAGAATTTCTTGAAACCATACCTGCAAAAGATCCCTTCCTCTTGGCTCCGCGGAAGTGCCACGTGGAGAAAGGAAAATGAGAACCTCGGCGGGAGGGGGATCTCTACTGCTCAGGCAAAACTGTTATTATCATGAAGAATAATTCACAAATGCCCGTGTGTGTGTATGCGTGTACATACGTACCTGTTCATTATTTAATTTATATATCTATCTTACTAATATGATTTATATATGTGTGTGTGTGTGTGTGTGTATGTATGTATATGTATATGTGTGTGTGTGTGTGTATGTACTGTATGTATGTATGTATGTGTCTGTGTGTATGTATGTATGTATCATGCATGCATGCATGATGCATGTAAACTCTTTTTAACACACCTTTCTTCTTAAAAAAGAACCCAGGACTGCTTACAACAACATTCTACAGTAGGTATTGTATAGGTGATCTGTAGCTTGCGAACCACACAGCTAATTCCAGTCTCTGCAGCAGCTGACCAAACCAAGGGTGGGCAAAATGTACCATGTGGGATGCATGTGGCCCCCAATGCTATTTTTGCAGCCCCCAGGCGCTGCTACTCCAGGAGAAGGACCTTGTTCTAGAAAGCCTCTAGGGGGCATAACTAGCCAATCCACGCACTTTCCTCTCCCTGCTCACACCTCTTCTAGACCCTAAGGGGCCTTTGCTCAAGACCAGAAGTAATGAAAATCAGAAGAGGGGTGGCCTGAAAAGAGCAATGAGACCGTAGGCAGTTGCAACGCCAGCCTGGTTTAAATTATTGGAAACTAAAAATACCAGCCTTTCCATTATTTGAAAAGGTGTCATGAATGTCTGGCTCCATCCTGGTAACAAACAAAATAGGACTACCTTTGTATACAGGTCTAATCCTGGTCCAAAAGATCATTTATATCACAGCATTATTATACACTGTTCTATGACCTGCTGTTATGTCATGTGTCACGACAGTGACCATTGCTGGCTGTTCTCGGTTTCCTCATCTTGTAACTGCATTACGGACTGTAAGCTCCATCTGTGTGACTACTTACCTTCTGGAGCAGAGTTAAGGAAAATCCATCCTTTTTTTAAAAATCTAAGCCTACTGGCCAGAAAAGGAGCTTTAAAGATGTTAAAAAGAAGATACCAACCTCCGCTTGCTTGCACCACACGCTGATGTTCTTACGCTGCGCTTTCGTGAAATGGTCCCAGGCCTTTTGTTTGGAAGCAGAATGGTACACCGCAACTATCTGCTCGACTGCAGTGTCAAAATCAGCAGGCACAACCAGGCCACAATAGCATCCGGGAAAGGGCAAGAGAAAGGAGCAAAGGAGTAAGAGAGCGGGGTCAGGCAGGAGTCCAGCGAATCTTTCTATAATGACTCTTTAGGAACACGCCAGGGCTGAGAATCTGATGCCCAGGGAGATGCCAGATCCCCAGAACACGGAGCGTTGTTAGCATAACAGAAAAACTGCACTGGACAGAGTTTTTTCTTTTCCCAGTCAAACAGAGAAAGGTGTTTCAATGAGAAGGACAGGAATGCTGATATGTTAGAAAAAAAATGAGGTTCGACAGAAACGCAGGAGGAAGAAAGATATTCAAATACAAAATAGAAGTTGGTATATAGAGACATTATTTTTCCACTTCACAAATACAGGATCACAATAATCAGGGCTATGTGTACTCCACAAGTGTTTAACTGTAAATGGATACTAGACTCAGAATCCAGGAGGTGTTGGGCTCCCATGCTGCCTGACCATCTAACCTTTCATTACTGAAGTTTAGTTTCTACTCCTTTAATGCTGAGACAGATCTGAAAGTAGACCTTCAGAGCCTACTAAAGTCTCAAATGACAACAGGAAAAGGATTAAGAGGTTTTTTTTTAAAAAAAAGAGTTCAATATTGCCCAAAATGGCTAAAAAGATTATACACCTATGTATATTTTCATAATATATACTACATTTAAAACACATGGCTTTTCCTGGACAGAATCTTATTCTTAAAAAAATACAAACAGCCCCAATTATTATAGATGTGGTCATTCATTATATAGTGCCCCACTCTTTGCAGGCCAACGGAGGCTCCTTTCCACTCTCTCCAATTCTTTTCCTACAAACGTCTGAGCAAAGAGTTAGGTGAGGGGCAGCAGCTCTGTAGAAGGACGCATAGGTTTGCAAAACAGAGAGATGGCTACAGGAAGAAGTGCTCTTATATTTTGCCCAAAGAATCGGAAAGTGATGCAAGTTGAGATTACCTCCACCCCCCATTACTACTTACTCTGCAACATATACAGTACCTTCTGCGGGATCAGAGGGCCAATATTTGTTCCAAAGATTACAGAAATGACACCATTGAAAAATCAAAACCAGGCAGGCCTTACAAATGTGCACCTCTGGAATTCCTTGGTATCTGTCAGGATGTGGAAGGGCACGCTCTCCGTGGCTGACCTCTTACACTGCCTGCCAAGTGGCTGCCAAAGTCGCAGCCTCTCCAACCTGTGAGCCACGGCAGTGCTGCCCTCTGCTAGGAACTTGGCTGTCTACCATGTAATCCAAAGTGGAGGTGGGGGAAGGAAATCCACAGACACACTACTTCATCCGAAGCTCTGCCACCTGGGACCATTGGGGGGGGGGTAAACAGTCTTCTCTGCAGTGGTGTTGAGTTTTTTAAAAGTTTCTCTGTTACTGCTAAAGGAGCTGGGGAAGAAAATTGTTGCACCACCTCCTGGTCAATGTGTGTGTGTGTTCTGTGTTATCAAGGCAGAAACAACTTACGGTGTCCCTAATAGGGCTTTCAAGGTAAGGGAGTGGTTTTACCAGTCCCATTCCCTAGTCAATTTCCATGGGCAAGTGGGGATTTGAACCCTGCTCTCTGGAGTCCTGGTCCGTCACTCTATCCACAACACCACGCTGGGAACCAGGCCAATACGAGTGGGGAAACGAATCCTCCTAAGAGCAGAAGGGTTTCGGATTGAGCAGATCCAAGGTCACCTCTGTCCCCAGAATCCTGGGTCAGGACCCAATCCTGGCAGTAGCTTCCCATCTGTGGATGGAGCTCACCTGCTGGGTAGACAAAGTACCATCTCCCCACCACCCCCGCCAGTCAAGGCTTCTGAAGGAACCACTTGAAACTCATTCTAATCCCTTTGGCAAATCTAGGTTTTAGGGAGTTGGGAACATTTAAAATGGGATGGAAGACGAAAATATAGCAATTGTACATTACCTTGAAGCTTAAATTTCCCAGTTAGTAAGATGACCTGCAGATTCTCAAATGAACAGAAAGAGGAGGGATTCATCTAGAAACCTACCTTTGGTTGCCTACGCCACTCTTTAGAAAGCATAAGAGCAGCATGCAGGAAACAACGCGATTGCGGCAGAACTAGGCAGAGAACATTACTGAGAAAGAAGTAAGAAAGCCCCACAACCAAACCAAAAAGACAGAAACTCACAAAAAAAAACTGAGACTGTCCCTGGCTAATGTTCAAAATGGTTCATATGGTTCAGAAATAGCAGTCTGTCTTCTGACCAGACCAACTGCTATAAGAATGTTACATCTGTTCAAACTCCCTGCATGACAACCTAAACCATCTCCAGTCACTGTAGCTTTGAAACCAGGTCCTCTTCTGTGTCCCATTGCACTGGGCTCCCAACCGCCCCACTGGCGTGCCAAATTAATCAAAAGACAATGTGCACAGCAACCTGTGGGCTGGGGTGAGGAAGATCGTGGCTGTCACACTTTCTCCAATAACCCATCTACAAATAAAATTCTGATACTTTCCCAGAAGTTGTAAGACTTTCTAATTTGTACTGAAGATTAATGGCTGAACGCCTTCCAAACTTACACTGAGCAAGAATCCCTGACAGTGCAAGTTTGAATTTCTCCTTTGCTTCCTCCATCTCCTTTTCATGAGCAGCTTTTTCATTCGTAAGTCGGCGGATATGGCTATTGACGGACTGGATCATGGAGTAGAAGCTGTTGGCGCTCCGTCGGTTCACTTCCCCTCGCTCTATCCAGGTCAGCAATGTCTGCACGGCTTCCATAAACTTGGAATCATCTGTTCCGAAAAGGAAAAACACAGTTCAGACACGAGCACTGGTGCATGTCTAAATCGCATCTCCTCCAGTGTGTTTATAATAGCCAAAAGGGAAGACTGGTTTCATGAGACGCAAAACAAAATAATGGAAGGCTGTGGTTGGAGAAAGCCAAGCCCACAACCACTCCTGCCTTCGTGCATGTCTATGTGGAGAGGGATCAATGTTTGGTGGTGCCATCTGGCATGCAGAAGATATCGGGTTCAATTACTGAAACTCCCAGTTAAAAAAATAAAATAGCACATAAAAGGACAATAAAATGCCTGCTATCCAGAGCTCAGAAAAATCACTTTTTTGGAGAACAACTCCAAGAAAGCTTTCCCAAAAATAATTTTTCTACGTTCTTAAGAGACAGTGGGGTAGATACTATCAGGCTACTACACAGTAGATACTATCAGGCTACTATCAGGCTACTACACAGACAAATAGGAAGGGAAGCATGCAAGGGGTCGGGTGTCCCTGTGCTTGGCCAATTGTCATTCCAAGGTGCGAGGATGTCCCCCTTTCAGGACACAAAATGAATGTCTCACCGTGAATATCAATGTTTCCTCATGCAGTGGAGGAGAACAGCCTGCAAGCCAGAACTTACCAAAGCTAGCTACCAAGAAGGAACACCTGCTCTGCATTTTAGTTTGGGGAAGCAGGGGGAGAAAGCCAACAAACAAGTTGCTTGGGGAGCAGGAAGGCACTCCGTGATGGGCAGGTGGGTGTTTAGGGCCGTGCCATCCGGCCACCCCTTGAACCCTGGAATGGGTGCGGCATGCTCCTTCAACAAGGAGAACTCTCTGGTCTCCTTGGTTGCCTTTGTGGCCCGGTTTGAAAATGTTTGGGGCAGAGGCGATGTTTTCCACTGAGGAGGAGGAGCCCCTCGATAGAGCTGCACAATCTTTTCACCCCCTCGGCCTCAAGCCACAGACTCGATCCATTAGGGCAGGTGGGTGAGGCAAAAGAGCAGAAAATGCAGCAGAGTTGTATATACGTTGTACAGGATAAAGGGTTTTTTTAAAAAAAGATATAGAATAGAATCAAAATCTACGTGAAGGAGCTATGGCAAGCGACCTGCCTGAAGCAAAGGCAGAATCAAGAACGGACTGAGCAGGGGTTTCCTCCTCCCTACCGGGGGGGGGGGGGGAGCCCTGATTGGTTAAATGGTCCTACCTGCAGAACCAAGTAGGAGACACAACGGGATCTGCAGGGTGTCCTTCTTAACCACACAAAAATTCTATGTATAAAGCCGCTCCCTACAATTCCATCAAGCAAACTGTATTTTGCTGCCACGCCAGTACCTTTTAGTTTTTCAGCAACAATGATGCATTCGTGATCTGAATAGTGGACGACAGGGGGTGGAGAGGGAGGGTGGAACTGATCTTCCGCCATCCTCCTACGATGGCGCTCTTCTCGGGCCAGCAGCCGTTGCTTGCACTCCCACTCATACCGATCGTCCCGCGCCTGAGCGAAATCCACATGGAGCCGGCCGGTGTCCTTTTTGTCAGTACTGGAGCCCAGCCTGATACGATAACCTGGCAGTGACCATGAGAAAAATAATATTTACTGTTTATCCTGGTATTTAATTTTATATCTCTCTCCCCCCCCAACATTTGAGGATCAGGTCTACTTACTCTCCAGTATTGTCAAACGCATCTACCAGTTAGGCCAACGTTTTGAATGGACTTCTTCATTCATTCACATGTATAACTCATACCTTGAGCTAACAGGGCCTACATGGCTTCCTCCCGCTGTATCTCCACCCTGAGAGGTATAGGAGACTGAGAGAAAGTGGGTAGCTCAAGGCCATTCGGTTGGCCCCATGGCTCAGCAGGGACTTGAACCGGGATCTCCCAAGTTCACACCCAGCATTACACTTCTGGACACCACCGTTTAAGAAGATCATAAAATTGGAGTGTGTCTCAAAGAGGGCAACCAGAATGATAAAAGTGTTTTTGTTTTCAAAACCAAGTAAGGAATGGTTGAGGGTATGTTTAGCTGAGCATGTTTAATCCAAAGAATGAGAGGATATAAGATAGCAATCTTCAAATGTTTGAAGGGCCATCACATTGAATACGGGGCAAGCTCGTTTAATACAGCTCCAGTGGATAGGACTCAAAGTAATAATTTAAATTACAGGAAAGAAGATTTTGACTCAACATTAGGAACAAGTTCATAACAGTGAGAGGTGTTCAATGAAGGAACCTCGTAGGGCACTGGATTCTCTAGCACTGGAGGCGTTTAAATAGAGGTTGGATGACTTTAGGTAAGGATTTCCTGATTTGGAAGGAGGGGTTGACCTGACGACCTCTGTGGTCTCTTCCAGCTCTAATCTTCTATGCTTCTATTAAGTACACCAGACTGGTTCAGAAAACTGGCTTTCTGGGTGTCCCTTTCAAAAGCTATGACCCACAGCTTGCTACATGAGTCTTTTTCTAGCCTTCTTTTGTGTGAGAAGGCCAGAGGAACAGAGAAGCTCCTTACTCCTTAGCGAAACAAATATTTTTTTAAAATTTTATTTTATGTATGAAACAAACCTTGACATATTTCTGTGTTTATATGTCCTGTTTGTCAGAGAAAGCTGGAATATGACTGAATTAAACAAATGAAAACATATCAACATCTTGCATGTATGGCTTTTTCAATAGTTGAACTATGCCATTTTTCTCTTCACATTAGTGAAATATAGGCAGCCTATTCTCAACGGCTATTTATCATCTATATAACGACAGTATGTAAAGCGTAAAGGCTTCTTTACTCGGATAACTCGAACAGGAGGGAAAGGATTGTGCAACTGGGGAAACAGTATGGGAGGTAAAACCCATAGATGCACATGGTCTACACAAATCTACAGAATTATCTCTTAGTATTAGCTATGGACATTACTTACCAGACAGATAAATAGCCTTGTCGACCATGTACTCCTCAGCAAAACGGATGTGGCAAAAATGTTTTTTACTCTTCCGAAGGGCTTTGATCTCTCCACACTGTTCAAAAATCTCCACAATGGTCTCTTCTGTGCTATTTTCTGGCAGTCCTCCAACAAACACTGTCTTGCACCCTGGAGGTCTTTCCCTTGTAGTGGGAGGAAGGAGATCTAAGAGGAACAAGAAATCTGATCCAGAAGCTTGCCCAAGCAAAAGACATCTGGCACTCATCTGCAATTTGGCAAGAAGTGCTCTGCATTCATATTGAAGTGTCAGAAGGCTTGCCCAATTCTACCCTGCCAGGCAAGGCGAGCTTATATGTCCTGCTTGCCTCCAAATATCAAAAGCCAAGATCTTTCCAGCATGGCATCATTCCCAAAGCATTAAATATATATATGGACAGTCCACTGATGGATTATTACTAAAAGTAAACTGCATGGACAACTATGACTCCCCAACTCTGGCAGCCACCACCAGCACCCCCAACCTCTCCATCACTCATATTCATTTCCATGGTGTGAAGAGGGTTTCATGCAAACAAACATCCTTTACTAAACTATTGATCAACTCCATAAGAGAAGCAACATTTAACGACTTTTGTTCAACTTTACAACGCTCAGGTCTCATTATCTGTTCCGAATCTCCCAGGTGCTCTAACAGGCTTCAGGGACTTAACGTCCGGGTCTCTGGTCTCTGTCCGACCACAGGAGGGGGTCTTACACAGGCCAGGACATGGGGTAGCACAGCAGGGGTGGTTCATACAACCCTATTGGGAGTAAGTGGGTGATTCCTCCCTCTTTTCGCCTGCCAACTCTTGGGGCAGAGGGGTCTGACAAGCTCTTTCAATGGTTCTGGGCAACGGTGCCATTGCAGGTGAAGAGATCCTTGGCAGATGAAGCTCTTGTGGCTGGTGTCACCTTTCCTGCCTTTCTCTCCCCCCACCCCCATTAGAGGATTTGCATGGAGATTGAAGGTTATGATGTTTGGCTACCTCAACTTTGGCACCCTGAAGGTCACTCTCTCCCCTGTTCCTTCAGTATCTTTTTCCTCTCCTTCTGGAGTTCCTCCCTCCTATGTTCTACTACCTATATAAGCTGAGGCTCCATGCCTTCTTCTTCCACCCCATCTCCTCCCCTCTCTTCTTCTTCCATCCCACCTTCTCCGGACTCCCTCTTTCTCACATCCTCTACACGGTTACCTCTACCTCCCCTTCTAGATCCTATTCCCTCCCCTCCCCTTACTCTCCTCCTCCTCCTCTAGAGGCTCTTCCTTTTCTCGGGTTTTTGTCTTCTCCCAGCCTTTCTCGGATTTCCAAATTTTTTGTCTCAACTATTGTTCTCATGGGTGATCCCTGTCTCCCTTCAGTCGACTGGAGAGCTTGATATCTGACATTCTGTTGATGCTGGGGAGAAGCGAGAGTGACCCTCTTCACAACATCAAACAAATGCAGACCCCCCCACCTCCAAGAACACTGGGAGCAACACCAGTGGCATTACAAAAATGGGGGGTAAAGGTTTATACAGTAAGTTTACTTCGGTTTCTTTTCCCTGCAGCTTGCAGATTATTTGCCTGCTGTAACATGTGATACGAAACTAAGTTCTCATTAGGAAAATTGCTGATAAGCTTGTTGGTTTATTCTGATGCACACTGAGCATTGTTACTGTGCTTCTTTGTTCTTCGGGATGCTGAAAGGGTAGCCTTTGAAAAACACTCCTATGTATAGTTTAATTATTCTCTGTAACAATGATAGTTTAATTATTCTTTGTTTCTACAGAGTCTCCAAAGCCTGAGAACATTTTAAAACAGAGACATCTCAATCAAACGGACAGGGCAGTACAGAAACACTAGACCGGAATTCCACAAACAGCAATTCATTCATGTGCTTTCATGAAGTGACATTCCAATACAGGGATCAGGATCCTCAGCAAGCTTAGGTGTCAAATGTTTGCCTCCCTCACCAACAGGCAGAGAAAGATGTGTTTTCAAACAATAAAACAGAAGCAAACTTGGAATGGAGGACCCACGGCGCCAAGGCCAGAACGACAGCTCCTGGAGGCTTCCAAGAACAGAAATGGGGGTGGAATTGAGCCAAAAACATGGTTTTAGATTTGTTAAAGATGTGCAATCTGTATAGTAGCTTTGGGGGCAGGAAAAGTGTCCCTGAGGGGCACAAGGTGTGCATCCTTGATCTAGGTTGTGGCTTTAACTACTGATATTTAATGTCACAAACAAGAAAAACATCCACTCTTCTTTCTAGTCAGTGATGCTGAGAGGGACTGTCCCTTTCTCCAAAGAGAAAGAAGCAGGAACAGCCACTCAGTTTCCCCCTGTGCACAGAAGGGCATAGAAGCATCCATCTGGGTCTCTTTTTTTTTAATGGAGAACGGTCGAGTTTCGTTTTCCATTCCCAGAGAATCATAGAGCAATTTGTGCTTCTCTCTGTATAGGCAGGGACTCCCATGATGTTAGAGGTGGAATTCCAAGGGCTCAGACCCTGCCTCCAACATTATCTCGCCCCTTGGCGAGTGACTCAGAAAGCAATCAAGACTTGGCTCTATAACCCTTCCTGCCCTAAATTCTTTCCACCTTCTCTCAGGAGAACATCAAGTATTGCAGCAAAACTCACTTGGATTAGGGGGGAAAAGTGTGCAACTTTTGCAATGGATTATCTCCTTAACCACAGGCATATCGGGAGGGATTGGAGGCAGCACCATTCCCAAGCCAGGCATCAGGGGATTGATCGGGGGCATCCCTGTCATTATTCCAAGTGAAGGATCAAAGTCTGAAAGACAGAAAAACCAATGAGTGAGATGATTTTTACTGCAACAGCTCAAGAATTAGAACGCAAAATGAAAGTCACACATGTAAGCAAAATGTCTGTCGTGCATGTTAACAAACTAAATGCTGAAATGGGCATCACTCTTCACTCGCCCACCGTACTTCAGTCATGCAGCTTTTTCTTTCATTTTTGTTCAAGGTGCCTCGTCATGTTCTCCAAGCCTGACAAGCTGTGATTAATCTTAACCATGTTCTGTTTGAAATAATCCATGTTCAAACCATAATTTATGAATGTGGCTTGGTTCCAAAAAAATGTAGCAAGGATTAACGGCCACTTAGGATTCCAACAATGGTGAATTAGCACAGAAACAAAAGCTTCCAATCTTCTCCTTGCATCCACAAAGGACGAAAAGAGAGGGATGCAGCATATGATGTCGGAGACAGAGGCCATTCCCAACACCATAAAACAGAGATAGGAATAAAGGCACCAATGGCCTCAATGTGGATGACCCCAGCTGTTTTAGTGATGTCTTAGAGACCCTGCCCCCAACTCCCAGGAGAAATTAAAAAAGCCAAAAAAAAGATCATAGTCCCTGGAAGCCTTCAGGAAAAGCAATTCTCAGCTAAAGCAGGAGGGTTTATAAATAAATAATGTGTGCTTCCAGGAGTTTTTTCAAACCGATAGTGAACTTCTGGTCACTTTCGGTTTTTAAAAATCCAAAATAAATATAATTTTGAAAGGCGTCTGACTTGTACCGAGTCAAAATTCAAACCCCCCCAGACCCTTAGAACTTGCGTACCCCGCTATCAAACATTGTGTACTGTGACATCCGAACTCAACTGTTGTGCCCCTCCCCCAATTTTATTATACAAGTGCAGAATTTGGAAAGGTAATTTCTGGACTACAATTGCCAAAACTGCCTTTCCTGTAAGGGAACTGTAATAAAAAAGTAATTTCCCCAAAATATGGCTGAAATCCAATAGTAAGTCATATCTAGAGGAAGCCCATTAAATCAATGGGATTTGGTGAGTGAAAACCTATGTATGTTCCATTAATTCAACAGGTCTAATAGTTGCAAGTTAGGTACTACTAGGTAGTACCCTAAATGCATAGGCACATTTATGGACCGAAGAGCCAACAACTTGGCAGCAACATCCAATGGATTCTCAGATCTAAATTGAAGCCATGACATTTTCAAACTTAGAAATGATTCAAATGGCTCATTACACCCACAGGATGCAACTCTTTACAGGTTTGATTTCTAAGCTATGAGAATGAAGACTGTCTCAAAAGAGAGTGGGGAAAAATTGCAAAGTTCCATAGTACTTTAAGTTGGTTCCCCTCTTCAGCAAGGTCTGTAATCAACAGTACTTTGTATATTCAGAGCATTATACCAGCACACCAGACAACAGACATAAGACAATGTTTGACATGAAGCTAACTTGCTACTTAGCTATTATTCTTTCCCAGCAAAGAGGTGCAGTACAAGGAGGCGGATCATGCAACAATGGGTTTAGAACAGGGCGTAGAACCTTCAGCCTTCCAAATGTTGATCAACTACTGCTCCCATCATACCTCACCACTGGCCAGACAAACAGGGTCTCGTGGGAACTGGAGTTCAGCAACATCCAGAAGGCAACAGGTCTCAAGATGTCAGACACAAGTGAGCCAAGCCATGTGTTACAGAAAAGACAAGGGTTGATTGTGAAAAGAAAGAAAGAAAGAAAAAAACAGCTACTTGAGAAGAAAAACACAGCAGGTATGTAAACAAGCAAGGCTTATGCTTAAAAAGCCTGGGGCAGCTCCAGAAATGAATCTCCCACCCAGTGATTTGGCATTACAGTGGTGCCTTGCTAGACAGTTACCCTGCATGACAGTTTTTTCGCTAGACATTGACTTTTTGCTATCGCTATAGCGATTCGCAAAACAGTGATTCCTATGGGGGAATTTCGCTGGACAATGTTTGGTCCCTGCTTCGCAAACCGATTTTCGCTAGACGAGATTTGCTTTTTGCTAGACAATGATTTCGCTAGACAGCGATTTCAGTGGAACGGATTATCATCGTCTAGCGAGGCACCACTGTATTTAATGACAACGTGCTATATAGAAAAAAGAAAAGTCTCAAAGAGATCTGGTGAAACTTCCTTCAGAAGAACGCAACCAGTCTTCTTAATAGAGAAGTCTTTCACCAAGAAAGCAATGCTACATCCCTTCAGGCCATGGGTCCCAGGTGTTCTGTGGACGCTTAATCCCTGCTCAGTACAATTCAAGGAGCGTTAATCTTGCGCTATCTGTAATGAAGACTCTGATCCAAGAACGTCACTTACCAGGCAAAAGAGGGTCTCCTGCTATCCCCATTGGCGCCATCCCCAAGTTATTCATAGCAGTGGCCCATGCTGTAGGATCAGACATGCCCAAATCCATGGGAGGAGATTCAAGGCTCAGAGTCTGGATATTGTCTGGAAAGAGCATGGTTACTACAGTAAGAGTTTTTAAAAACTGAGTCATCACAAACCAAACATCTGGGAGAGATGTTTCAAATTTTTCTTCAGTGGTGTACAAGATGGTGATAAAGTTTGTTTGTTTTTCTGGTAAAGGAGGGGGGGCAAGATCAAAGTGCAGGAGGGACTGCAATAAAATGTTTTAAACCCACAAAACCTGGTACAAAACACACTGGCTTGCCTTTCTCTCTCCTTTTTCTCTCTCATCAGAGTACTCTCCCACTCCCATCTACTGAAGTTTTCTTTCAACAACTGGACCTATAGGTGTGAAGAAAGGGGCCTCAAAATAGAACCTTACTAGTCCTTAACAGGGCTCAAACGTGATCCCCTGACAGCCAGTGCGCAACTCCTGGAATGCACAGGCCGTGATGCAGGGGAGACCCTCTGTGTTATTTCCATGCCCAAAGGCATCTGACAGAATTCCTTTAAGGCTCACTCACTACCCAATGCCTGACCTAGTTTTCTCCCCCTGCTCCCCACGCCCACCAGAGATTTCAAAATCACTGGAGCAATCTGATCTAACAGCAACTTAAACTGAAACGTAGGCACAGAGTCAAAATCAGTCTGTGACCGAAGGCAGGTCCCCACAGCCCTCACGGTCAATTCTCAAACTGCTAACAGGTTGAAGGATCTGTTTTTAGTGAATATCCCTATAAATTGTAACCACAACAGTTCTGTCCCCCACGGCCACTGTCCCTTCCCCTTTTAAGTTGCAATTGATGGACACAACCCTAATGTAAAAGCAGTGGAGACTGGTTACCAAGGTAATAGCCAAAGCTCTTTGTGTACCCCTGATCTGAAAGTATCAGACCTACGCAGATCCTCTGACCCATTACTTTCATTGGCAGAGACAGCTGTAAATTGGAGAAGGGGAACCTATAGCGCCTTCCCAAATCACTAAACTCCTGCACCCATCAAATTCTAGCAGCGCCAGGGCCATTTACTAAAATGTTGGGAAATTCATTACCTTTCTCAAGAGTGTCTGAAGGGTCACAAATTTCCCATCCCTTCTGTAAATTATTCCTTGGAGGTTCACCTCCTATACATGCATCTTTTTTTTAGTTCACAAAAGTATTATCATTTCGGTACATTCGTCAACCCTGACGTGCAACATGGAACCTAACTTCCTTCACTGATGGCTTTCTTATTCTCATCAGGATTCTTGTGGTTATCTTATCAAAATAAGATCAGCCCCACTACACTTATCCTTGTGTTACCAATGAAAATTAAATAATACCAATATTGGGGTAAGGGGAAAAGGTGAAGGAAGAGGTAAGCTATTGCGTTTCACAGATGTCTTCTTCCGAAATGTGATCTAGTCTGCTCAGCAATTCTGGGGAGGACAAAATACACTCCTCTACCAATCTTTGCCAAGTCAGTAAAGGCTATCATTACAGTGATGCTGCTCTTCATGTACTTTCAGACCAACTTGACAAGCACCATGTTGGCAGGGATGATAATCTGGGATCTAATGGTGATTGAAGGAAGTCAGCAATTCTTTCTAACTCCCAATGGTTTAATTACAGGAATAAGCAAACTCCTGTTTTCATCCTAAATTTTACACTGCCAAAATCAAGGAAGTCTAGGAGAAAACAGGAATAGATTTGTTCATGTATAATTTTGCGTGAAAGCTCCAGTTTACTAAAAACAAATTCCAGGGCTAAGCATGTGATCAGAGACCCGCTTTGGTCCACAATTCAATGTGGGCCCTCCAAGGCCACTATTCTGCACTTTGTTCTGGTCAGTTGATCCTATTATACTAAAAATCAAAAGAGAGGCTTCAAACCTAGAATGGATCCAACCCTGTAGAGTGGCAACTCAGACCACCTTCCGAGCCTGAGCTTTCAGTTGGTCGCCGCAGGTCCAACCTGACCAACAAAAATAAACTCACGGTGCAGAATCATCCTGACTCAAGCATGTACACAGCTGTGACATGCTGACTTGGGGCTATCGGGTGTCGAGTAACAGAAATCCCAGAACTCAGGATTCCTGGCATGGAATGAGATGGAAGAAATAGAGCTTAACAACAGCTCTTCTCTATTCTGAGTAAGAGCTTCTGCTCTCTTCCGTAGATCCCAGTTGAAGCAAGCTTCCAGAGACAAAGCATTCTCCTCAAGGCACATGTGTCCCACCCTACCCGAAGGCATATTTATCCTCTTTCGTTTCTGGCTTGCCTCCCCTCCATTTTCTGTAGGTTCAAGTCTGCTGTTGAATGGTGGGAGTTTGTTGTTCCCGGGGTCAAAGGGCAGCTGTTTCAGTCCTAGGAGAAAGAGGAAAAGGGAAAAACCATTATTTGTGAAATTTCACAGATTCTCTGTCCAGTCTACTTAAAATCAATTTAAGAAAGAGAGTGTATCAGTGTGGTGTAGTGCTTAAACTGCCAGTCTGGGACTCGGGAAATCTCTGTTCCAATCTCCGCCGAACCATAGCACTCGCTGAGTATCCTGGGGTGAGTCATTCTCTTTTTTACTGACCCACTCCGCAGGACCGGAGTGGGAGGTAATTAGAGAAGAGAGCTCTCGATACCATGTTGAATTCATTGGATGAAAAGTACATTCTACTTTTCCACCAAAAATAAGATTCAAAAAGGCTCACAATAGTAAAATACAAAATAAAATTAACCATTCTAATTTAAAAAGCACCACCAATTAAAACCAACCTATTCATTTCAACCAACACATCAGCTTCAAAGCTAATATCCTGCTTTCTTAAAAATGTCTTTATCTTTCAGCAAAAGGACCAAGCTAATGTGGTCTCTTTAGGTAGAAAGTTCTAGGTACCGAGAAGACCCTTTCTGCCCTTCCCAATGTACCTTTCATGGTGACTGTTCAGAAAGAAAGTCTACTCCAGAAGATCTTCAAACCCAAATAGGACAATACAGCAGAAGGCAATCCTTCAATTTTTTTCCTTTTAAACTTTTATTCCTTTTCAATGAGGACAGGATTTGGGCTGAGGGGATTTAGGGCTGGGGGAAAAGGTAAAATTATGCCCAATCTTTTGCACCCATCATATTTAAGAGATATTCAGACTTTCTTTTAATTAATCATTTGTACCTAGCAGTAGTTTATCAAATGTCGTTTGTTCTTCATCAAAGCCCATTCGTTTATCTTTTACGTATCTTGAGTCTAATTGTGATCTCATCAACCAATCTAGAAAAACTTTCTGTTCCTCCAGCTCCTCTCTAGTCTTTAACACACCGCCTTTCTTTAGGAAGACTCAATATCTAAGCAGCTTTGTTGGGTCCATTAAAGTTGGCTGCATAAATGCTTTTAACGGCGACACCCACCCCGGAATTTTGTGATACATTTGCTTTTGTATCTTATTCCAAATCCATAACAAAGATTTTCTTATTATATGGTTATTGAAGACTTTATGGTCTTTAGCTTTTTGATACCATACAAAAGCATGCCACCCCAGCCTAAGATCATGCCCTTCCAGTTTAAGTAATCTCTCACTGTCCGGAGTAATCCATTCCCTGGTCTCGTTTCAAACAGCCTCATCTTAAGTCCTATAGAGCAGAGGTCCCCTGAGCCGGACCGGGCCGTGGAGACAGACCTCCCACTCTACCCCTGCACACACTCCCCTCCGCATAGCGAACACGAGTGCTCCCCCACTCCTTTGCGCATGTGCACGAGTGTCCCCGAGCGCTGCACTGCCCTTTGCGCATGCACATTGGCGTGCACACATGAGAGCATCTGCTCCTTGATGCATGTGCATGGTCATGGGGGGTGCCCCAACTTCCCCAGCCAGTCCATGGGGTTAAAAAGGTTGGGGACCACTGCTATAGAGCCTTGCAGATACCATTGCTTTGAACTGTCCCCAGGAAAGGAGAGGTAACAAATAAAACTGTTTTAAGAAGTGAGGTACATGCCGCTGACATTCGACTCTAGTCAATAGTCTGATTTCAGCTGACTGGAACAGCTGACATTTCTGAATATTTTGAAACGCAGACCCCCACAGAATGTATTACAGTAGCCCAAATTAGATGCAATTAAGGCGTAAGTTATTGGCTTACTAATCTATACTTGTCTCCCGATGCCAAAATATATACTATTTAGCTTTAGACTCCACTTTCTGTAGTAGCCCATTTCATTGCCGAGCACTGCTACCATCAGAAAACTCTTCCGAATGTTCAGGGTTTTACCACAGCTCTCACCTTTCCTGCTCACTGGCCATTTTGGCTAAGCTGATGAGAAAATGTAGTCCAAACATCTAGAGCAGTTGGTTCCCAACCCTGGGCAACTCAGGTGTTCCTGGACAACAACTCCCAGAAACCTTGGCCAGCACAGCTGGTGGTGAAGGCTTCTGGGAACTGCAGTCCAAGAACACCTGGTTTCCCAAGGTTGGGCACCACTGATGCAGAGCGCAGGACACCAAGTTATTTGTTAGTGACATTTACATCCCGTCTCTCCTTTAATAAGCTTAAGGTTCTCCCCCTTTTTCACTTAATCCTCACAACAGTCCTACCAGGTAGATGAGACGACAAAACAAACAACATCTAGCAAGGTTCAGGCCTCAGTGATGACCTGGATTTGAATCTCACAGACTCTACACCAACGATCTCTCCACTTCACCACACTAGCTCTCAGAACTGGGAAGGTTAGTTTTGAAATATAAGCTTGGAACCCTTGGTTATAATTTAACCCGGGCAAACACAACCCTCAGTTCAGTTCTCATCCTAGCAAATGCACAATATAAACACCAGGCTTGTCTAGAACTGCGTAACTTTAGAAGCTATGGGAAAGTGTCACTGAACTGAACACTCCGACCGAACCTTTCACTGTACAGTACATTGGACAGGAAGAACCTGGAAAAGAATACCATTTTTGACAGTGTCTTTTCAAGAATAAACACTGAAATTAGCTTTTGTGTCATGTATCAAGCAAACCTGGCTCTCGATGACAGAACTTTATTTGATGGTGTCAGGTGTTAAACCCTACACTAATCCCAAAGCCCTAACGAGAGGAAAAAGAACGAGCCTCGGCCATCCTTGGGATGGCTGGAAAGGCTTGGGCACGTCAGAATGAGAAAAATTTATGACGAGAGAATTCCCCCTGGAGTTGAGTTTGCACTTCCTGCACCTGGAACCAAGGCTGCAATAGCTGTGCCGGTCTTCTGCCTTGCCTCCATGCTGGTACAAATGTGACCAAAAACTGGGTAGGAAAGGCATTTCAAGTGAACGTCCAAGTTTGCGGTGCATGACACTCCTTGGCCAAACCCCTCCAGTTTTGTAGATAACCAGCCTTTGTATTCCAACCAAACCAAATACAGACCATCAGCCAGGGAGTCTTCCTACTGTTATTGCTACCTGCCTCGGACTGTGAGTGACAAATGTTTGACAGACCATAAGTCTCAACCAACGAGGTGATTTAGTTCAGTAAACTCAGTGTACAAGCTTGGTAGATACCAATAAGGGTCATGAGTTGTACAGACAGGCTTTATAAACACACTTAGTTGATACTTACATGACAAAAAGATAAATATCATGCAAGTAGGTAGGTGAGTTTAAAAAAGGTGCTATGCCTGACAAAACACCTCCTGGCAGCATAAAAACCTATCATCATATCAGCTCTCATTTATTCATCTAGTAAAGCCAACTTTAGTCCATGGGAATTTATGTGAAAAAAAACAAGAGTATTTCGTATTTTCTATACTACAAAATACGTGATTTTTGCAACAAGAAATTAACACAACCAGCCCCAGGTGTTTTGACAATAAAACAGGGAAACATAATAGATATGCACAAAGAATAAACAAAGTAGTGTATGCACAGCCGAGGAAAATCTGCTGAATAATGTTTAGTAAAGTCTAGGAAATGCCACATGATCTGAAAGAGCAAGGCCAAGAAAAAGAAGAAGCAAAGTTCTCAGAAATAAACTGGCAATGGTTTTGTGTGTGCGTGCGTGTGCATTCTCCTCCCACCCAAAACAAAACAAAAAATGAGAAAGGAATTCCAGTCCCATGTGGAGGACCACATTTACCAAGCCTGATATTTAACCTTGCTTAATAATGCTCCAAATCCGTCTTAATTCCATTTGATTTCTATCAGACATTTTCTGAATTAATATGATTTGTGCAGTTATAAGAGTTCAACAAATTTTAGGAGTCATGTTTGTGTTCTTTAGTGACTCCCATCTGCTAAGCAGTGGGGGAAAAGAATGCAAAGCCCCTGGAATATGATCGCTGGATTTAGAGCCCTTAATCCAATGTAAGTATGCTCCCAAAACCTGGCAGCTAATTTAGAATGAATGGTGAAAGGACCAGCCATTGGGAAACACAATCCTCAAACAGAAATGTGAGTATGGCTATGTGATTGAAGGGTGTGTCTGCATGAATGTGGAATGAAAATAATCCCAATGGACCGAGCTAGCTAATCTGTTCAGAGCTCTCCCTCGATGTGCCTACGCTTACCCAAACCTACACTGCTTTCATATGAGCTTAAGTACTTCATATTTGCACTGGATAAATCCAATAATCCAATAGTTTGCAAGGCCAATGAGGGCTCTGGGTTAGAGATCCTCACCACAGCTTTCCCCAGCTAAGCATCCACCAGATATGGATGGGGCTGATGGGAGCTACAGCTAGTGGGTGATCGTTGGGGAAGAGTGCTCCAATACTCTTCAAGGAGTGTAATATGTGACCCTCCAGATGTTGCTGGACTGTAGCTTCCATCAGCTCCAGCCAGCATAGCCAAAAGTGGGGTTCCCTTTTGCAGCCACCTCTTATTTGCCTGATGCTCCTATGCCCCTAGCTTATTATCTCTTCTCTAGAACCCATCAAAGGGCTCCTAAAGGAAACTGATGCGTTCTCCTAAAAAACAGGATTGTGAGTGTGTTTAAGCACTACCAGCGTGTGGCTTGAATCCAGCCACTTCCCTCACCAAACACAGGTAGCAATTAAAACACAAAATAGTCTCAGGTCGCTTTCTGGGCTTGAACATAGCATTAACAATGCTGGGCTCAGTGACTATCAAATATGCTACCAAACCTCTCCATGAACATCACATCACTGGACTACCCATTTTCTCCCTCTCTCTCCTTCCCGACCCTCAACAAACATCACCACTTCTCCCTTTGCTCAACCCCCCCCACCAAGATTTCTAATTCTATTATTCCTTAGGGTGGTGGACAGGAGTGGCACCCAGGCTCTCTCGAGTTCAGGCTGCCACAGCCCCCCTCTGAATTCTAAGGAATAACAGGATCCTCTCAAAGCAAAAACAATAAACAGGCGTATCTGTCTTTAGAAAATTTATCTTTACTC